CCCCAAAACCCCAAAACCCCAAAACCCCAAAACCCCTTAATTATATTTATAAACTGAAATTGGAAAATATTAACTTGACAGCTTCTTTAGAATGGTTGCTTTGATCTTTGGGTCTTCGGCATCATTCAGAGTCTTGCAGAATGACCTTCCTATATCCTTAAGTTGTTCTGGCGTAAAATGGGTATCCTGGTAAATTCCTTTGTTAGCCCCCAGAAAAGAAGACTCAAGCGTGAAGGAGTTAAGAATGTTGTACTCCCGCCTGACAACTACTCTCCCAGTGCTCTCTTTATCTTTAGAGACGTTGAAACTGCAGTCTTCGTAGGAGAAAGTTGAGTGAAGGTCGCCGAACCTCATTGGAAATATCTTCTCATAGTTCTTTTTGTCAGATGTTTTGTTGCTACATCCGTACATGAAGCAGTTAGATTTTCTTGAATGCCCATGAACATCCACAAACATGAAGATCCTCCGACTTTCTAGAGTCTTCTTGAACATCAATTTTGTGTGATAGATCTCAGGGAATACTCTAGAAGTGGCTGCAATCCATTGTCTATTGAGATCCTGGCCGCTCAGAGATCACCTGTAGTTACCTAGGATCACCCCATCAGGGTTTAGCATTGGGATGATTTTGAAGACATATTTATCCCTTAGCTGGATAGCCTCTGGCTCATCAGAGACCAAGAATTCCAGAATACCTTGAACAATATAGCTAGAGTTCGATTCACCTGGGTGAACCCTTCCTGTAATTATGACAGCATCTCTCTGAGATATATCCTGCTCAGAGCTGAGGAAATTGGTGATGATGACCAAGTCTAGGCTGTTGCCTGCTAAGGATTTGCACATTTCTGTTTTTCTTATCCTATCCTTCTTTGACACTATTTCTTCTAGAAAATTAGCAAGTTTATTTACCTTTCTTTTCTTCAGTTCAAAGATCTTCGAGAAACTCCTTACAATCTCTGTAAGTGTATGGATAATGATGGCAGAAATATACTTCGTCGTCATCAAATGGAAGATCAAAGCTAAATGAGAGAGAGTAGAGGTAGCCTGGACCAGACTTCCTCTTAGTAGTGTTCTGGTAATAGCAAATATCTTCTCCAATCCTCATCCATCCGACTCCTTCCTTGGCTTCCTTCTTGCGTGAATAAATGAGGGGTCTCATTCCTTCATTATAAATAGAATCTTGCTTGTAGAAGTGATAAAGGTTGAACAGATACTTTCTGTCAGCCCTTGTGTTGGTCACTTTGAAATAATACCATTGAGTATAGCCTTGAGAGTTGTAATCATTCCTCAGAACTAGATCATATTCAAATTCGTTCACCTTTATTGCTCTCTTGAGATTCCCTGATTCGAAACGACTCTCAAATACTAGTGTTGTGTCGTCCTCTCCCTCAACAATGTAGTAAGGGTTCAAATTTGTGTACACCTTGTCTTTCTTTGGGATTCCAGTGTTGATCATTGGTCGTCTGTAGCCTCTTCCCTTAATCCTTGGATTAACGAACCCAGCGTTATTCTTAGACTCTAACAGCTTTCTTTCATCAATGTAAGGATTAGCATCTGTGTAGAAGGGGCTTTTGTCCATATAGTCGTACACAATTTGGGTCTGAGAGTTTGATTCCAGTTTGACCTGTTCTCTCCTTTGGTAATCATCCTTGCTCATAATTCTATAATTCCACTTGTTGTCATTTTCATAAGCAGCATGACTGAATTTGACTCTTTCAACTGTCATTGGTGTATCAACTCATAACTTTGGAGTCCATTTAAGAGCCCCAGACTTCTTCAGCTTCTGTAGCTCAGCTGCATGCTTAGCTTTGGAATTGCTCAGTGCTGACTTATCTCTATTACGCCTGCGACCGTCCCTGGACTTGTTAGTTCTCCCACTATTATCTGCTTTTGCAGTTTTTACTATAGAATTTAAACTAAATCGTACCATTATTTATTTCTATGGGGGACTTCAGAGGCATCAGTTTCTGAATTCTGGTTGATACCTGGAAGGTTAGAGTCATCCAATCTATTATGACCACCTCCGTGAGCTCCAGTATCGTTGGAGAAGGAGGTATCCGCTTGCATTAGGAATGACTTGTTGGAGTTCTTCTTTGATACTATTTGTTCTCCAATTGAGATATGCATGTTCTTTTTACCAAGAATACGTTTATCGGTGCCTGACTCTGTTTCTTTAGCAGCATTAGGAGTCTATGTATAATTCACAGGCTTACTAATTTAGAAGAGTTCTTGAGATTCCTGGGCTTCTTAAGGGTATCGCCAGCAGAATACTGATGCCTTGCCTGGAATGACATCTTACGGTTTTCTTCTTCACTCTCGAGTAAAGCTCTCGCAAGGTGGAGATCCCTTTCTTTATTTCCCCTAGCTTTGCCTTCTTCCTGCAAGGAAGGGTTATGGTAGGCTTTCTTAGCAGGATCAGAGATGATAGAATTGTAGGCAAACTCAGATTCTACCTTCCTACTGATAGAGCTGGTGCGGGTCTCTCCACCAAGCTTCTCTCTGTATTTACCAAAGGAAGAATCATAGACTGGCACCACATTCGAAGGGATCTTCTCAGACTTGCTTGGCAACGCAGATGAACTTCCGAAGGATTTGAATTTTTCATGTTGTCTGTTTTGGAACTCTGGCAGCTCCTTAATTTTGTTAGCGATTGATTGGAGGAAGGCTGAGTGTTGCTCTTGGTCTTGAGAACGTTTCTTTTCGTAATATTGAAGGTGCATGTCATGCTTTCTGGATGATTGTTAGAAGGTGAATTCGTGTATTTTGGTTTTAATTAAGGATTTTGAACAATTTGAGAATATATAGGGCATATTTTAAACTCAATGATGATGTATTAGGAGTGTTAGCATCGGCATTGTTTAGAAACTTGAATTTGAGTGAAGAATTATTTAAATTAGAAATAAAGCTTTGAAGAATTTTCCAAAAAGATTAACAACCTTTAAACTCAACCCAAACTCATAAAAATTTAGTTTTCAAAAATCCAGAGACTATAGAATCCTCCGATATCACAATATAAATCCTCTTAGATTTCCTATCTCATCAGCTAAATTCGATGACTCCCATTTTCTGCCCATATCTCCTTCAACTTAAAAATTTATCCAAACTTTAAAGAAATCCCTTCAAATCCGGAGTCCCTCAATTTCCCTCATCACACCTCTTCTCAGCCTTTAATTACCCCACACCTCTTATCATGAACTTACGATTTGTTATATGGGTGACTCGAATTGTTCATCTTTAATACCAATATTTTCAATAAAATTACATAAAACGGGGTTTTGGGGTTTTGGGGTTTTGGGGTTTTGGGGTTTTGGGG